AGGACTTTGAAAGCTAGTGAGGAGTTAGCTAAACGAAGAAGGGAGTTGCGGAGGGTGCCAAGAAAACACAAAACATCAAAGTATAGATGTGTCAAACAACCCAACACTGTTAGAAAAGCAGGTGTTTGCTATGGCCCGAATGAAGGGGTAATAAGGAATGTAGGTGGGCAAGAAGGCCAGGCAGAGAAAGACATATCTTGCTGGAAGTGATTGCTTATGGGTAAACAGAAGGGCTGAAGGGGATGGTGCAATGATTGTGCCTCTGAGAGTATGTAGTGGGCTAAATAATGACCCCCGAGGATTTTTACATCTTAATTTCTTGATTTCTGAAACCTGTAAATGCTACCTTTTATGCAAAAAGGGCACTGAAGTTCTGATTAAAACAAGAATCTTGGGTTGGTGAGGTTATCTTGCATTATCCCAGTGGCCCTTAATGCAATCACAAATGTCCTTATAAGAAGGAAGCAGAGAAGATTTGATTACAGAAAAAAAAACAAACAGCCAATGTGATGATGAAAGCAGAGATTGGAGCGATATGCTTTGAAGATGGAGGAACAGGTAATAAGCCAAGGAAAACAGGAGGCCACTAGAAGCTGAAAAAGTCAAGGAAACAGATTCTCTCTTCAGAGCCTACAGAAAGAATCAACTCTGCTGATAAGTAAAAACCACTAAATTTCTTATTTATTTATAGTAGCAATAGGAAATTAATACATAGTACTTAAGCCAAAGATTACAGAATTGAATTTCTCATTTACTATGGCGCAGTTCCAGAAAAATCAATAACAAAGGACTCCAGTGGTTGGGGAATATAGCAAAAAGCCCACTCATCTGCCTCAGTGATGACTTCTAGAAAGGATATCTCCTTTTATCCCGAATATAAGTTCGCTACACACTGTCATGGATTCAAATCCTGTGCTACTTGCTAGCCGTGTAGCCTTAAGTAAGTTACTGAACCATTCTGAGCTTATTATCTCATCTGTAAAAATGAGAGGATTATACATATTTCACAGGGTTTCCGTAAAATAAAGGATATGAAAGGAGGAAAGGCAGACAATCCATATTAGGATCCTAGAAAGTACCAAGTACCAAATACCCAAGAAGAACGACACGGCTGAGGTAGAAACAAGGAAGATCTTAATGACTGTTATCTTGAAATGAAATCCAGACCCACTAGCTAAGGTAGATGTCAAAGGCTTCATCCAGCTGGTGCCACACACAGAGAAGAGCACCTGGGCAAGGAGGACAATGAGACAATGGCTATAACTGGAAGGAGGAGGGGGAAGGAGTGACCTTGAAGATGGCCATCGAAAGGGTTACATTTTACCAAGAAGATTGAGATGTTTAAGGGGCAAAAATCAAGAAATCTTCTTCTAGAAGTTTCTTCTAAATAAAACTGAAGGATATGGAATGATGTTAGAAATGGACTGTTTCTCTAAGGAGTAAAGAGCAAGGACATTATTTGAGACGTATCTGAGAATGGTTGAGACATAGTTCTAGCTCTAATACTAGAAGAGCTAAAGCTAAGAAAATATCCAGAAAGTTATTCCCATGGGGCAGGGAAAGCAAAGAGAGGATGGAAACTCAGAAGCATTCCCTGACAGTGCTCACCAGCCTGCACTTTCCACACTAGTACAGAAAGTTATTTCTGGATATTTTCTTAGCTTTAGCTCTTCTGGTATTAGAGGACTAGGGGAATTGTGGTATGGATGCTCAGGAGAAAAACAACCCTTGGCTGGGCATGGGTGGCTCATGCCTGTAATCCCAGCACTTTGGGAGGCCAAGGAGGGTGGATCACCTGAGGTCAAGAGTTTGAGATCAGCCTGACCAACATGGCGAAACCCCATCTCTACTAAAAATACAAAAATTAGCTAGGCATGGTGGCAGGCACCTCTAATGCCAGCTACTCGAGAGGCTAAGGCAGGAAAATCACTTGAATCTGGGGGGTGGAGGTTGCAGTGAGCCAAGATCACACCACTTCACTCCAGCCCGAACAAAAGAGCAAAGCTCCATCTCAAAAAAAAATAAAAAAAGAAAGAAAGAAAGACAGAAAGAAAAAGAAAAAAGAAATTTGCCCAAGCCTTAAACTGGGGAAATTTTTTTCAGCATTGGAATAAGCTGTCTCAGTACACCTACATATTACATAAAACTCTGGAAACCTTTGAATTCTGCGATTCATATGTCATCCCATTTTATAAGTCATTGTCCTAATGATGAACACTATTTCACTTAGTAAGCATAAGACATTTCTAGGGAACCAGAAATCTGATAGTTTTACTGTATTAGGTCATTTTGCATTGCTATAAAGAAATGCCTGAGGCTAGTTACTTTTATAAAGAAAAGAGGTTTTATTTTGGCTGATGGTTCTGCAGGCTGTAATGAAACATAGCGCCAGCATTTACTTCTGGTGAAGCCGCAGAAAGCTTACAATCATGGAAGGAGGCTAAGGGGGGACCAGCACATCACATGGCAAGAGAGGGAGCTGGAGAAACGGAGGGGAGATTCCAGGCTCTTTTAAACACCAGGCCTCACATGAACTCATAGAGTGAGAATGCACTTATCACCAGAAAGTCAACATCAAGCCACTCATGAGGGATCCTCCCCCATGACCCAAACGCTTCTTACCAGGCCCCACCTCTAATCACATTTCAACATGAGATTTGTAGGGGACAAACATCTAAACAATATCATTCTGTCTCTGGCCCCTCAAATTCATGTCCTTCTCACATTGTACAATACAATCATCTATTCCTAACAATTTCCTAAAGTCTTAATTTGTTCCAGCATCTCTCAAAAGTCTAAAGTCCAAAGTCTCATCTGATTCTCAAAGCAATTTCCTTCAACCTATGAGCTTATAAAATCAAACACAAGCTCCTTACTTCCAAGATATGATGGTGGTACAGGCATTGAGTAAACATTCCCATTCCAAAAGGGAAAAATAAGCCAAAAGAAAGGAGTAAGAGGCTCTTCCAAGTCTGAAATCCAGCAAGGCAGTCCTTAAATCTTAAAATTCCAGAATAATCTCCCTTGGCTCCATGTCCCACATCCTGGGCACACTGGTGTGAGAGGTGGGTTTCCAAGGCCTTGAGAATATCTGCCTCTATGGTTTTGCAGGGTGCAGCCTCTGTGGCTATACTCACAGATCTCATAGATAGCTCCACTAGGCTGTTCCCCAGTGGAGACTCTTATGGGGGCTTCAATGCCACATTTTCCCTTGGCACTGTCCTAATAGAGCCTCTCTGTGGGGGCTGTGACCTTAAAACAGGCTTCTTCTTGAGCACCAAGGCTTTTCCATACATCCTCCAAAAATTGAGGTGAAAGCTGTCAAGCCTCTTTCACTCTTGCACACCTGCAGGCTTAGCACCATGTGGAAGCTGCCAAAGCTTATGGCTTGCACCCTTCAGAGCAATGACTCAAGTTGTACCTGAGCCCCTTTCAGCAGCACAGGGCAGAAGGACCCAGGGCCTGGCCCCTGAAAATATTCTTTCCTCCTAGGCCTCTGAGCTTGTGATGGGAGGGGCTACTTTGAAGATTTCTAAAATGCCTTCATGGCCTTTTCCCCATTGTCTTGGATATTATTAGCTATTATTATGTAATAATATATTATTGGATAATAGCTCTTAGCTCCCTTTTAGTCATGCAAATATATCTAGCAAGTAGTTCCTCCACAGGCCACTTGAAGTCCTCTGCTGAAAACATTCATTCCTTCTCTGCCACATGGTTAGGCTGTGAATTTTTCAAATTTTTATGCTCTACTTTTCTTTTAAATATAAGTTCCAACTTTAAGTTATTTCTTTCCTCCCATACATAATTGTGCTGCTAGAAGCAGCCATATCACATCTTGAATACTTTACTGTTTACAAATTTATTCTGCCAGATACCCTAGGTCGTCTTCTCAAGTTCAATCTTCCACAAATTCCCAGGGCATGGACACAATGCACCCAAGCTCTTTGCAAAGGCATAGCAATGGTGACCTTTGCTCCGGTTCCAAATAGCTTCCTCATTTTCATCTGAGACCTCCTCAGCCTGGCCTTTGCTATCCATATTTCTATCAGCATTTTGGTCACAACCACTTAACAAGTCTCTAAGAAATTCCAACATTCCCCCAACTTCCCGTCTTCTAAGCCCTCCAAACTCTTCCAACCTCTGCCGATTACCCAGTTCCCAAGCTTCTTCAACATTTTCAGGTATCTTTATAGCAACACCCCACTTCTCATTATCAATTTTCTGTTAGTGCATTTTTGCATTGCTATAAAGAAATACTAGAGATTAGGTAATTTGTAAAGAAGAGAAATTTAATTGGCTCACAGTTCTGCAGGCTGTGCAGGAGGCATAGTGCTGGCGGCATAGTGCTGGCATCTGCTCCTGGTGAGGGCCTCAGTGAGCTTGCAATCATGGTGGAAGGCAAAAAAGGAGTTGGTGTATAACATGGCAAGAATGGGAGCAAGAGAGAGAAGGGAACAAGAGAGAGATGGGAAGGGAAAGTTCCACACTCTTTTAAGCAACAAGCTCTCACTTGAACTACCAAAGCAAGAACTCACTCATTACAATGAGGATGGCACCAAGCAATTCATGGGGGCTCTCCCCACATGACCCAAACAGCTCCCACCATGCCCTACCTCCAACATTGTGGCTTACATTTTAACATGAGATTTTGAGGGAGCAAACCTTCAAACCATATCAATCACACTGCATACATGCAGACACAGAGAAAAAGGGTGGGTAGAGACTGTAGTCCCAGCTACACTGGAGGTTGAAGCAGGAGGATTGCTTATACCCAGAAGTTTGAGGCTACGATGAGCCACTGCATTCGAGCCTGGGCTGTAACAAGAGTAAGACCCTGTCTCTTAAAAAAAAAAAAAAAAAAGTGGGGAGAAGACAGACATGGGGCAGGGAAGGCAAAGAGAGGATGGAAACTCAGGGATGGAAATCTACTTCAACTTTAGCCAGAAGCATTCCCTGACAGTGCTCACCAGCCTGCACTTTCCACACTAGTACAGATTTCTGGCTCCTTAAGGGAAGGAGTAGGGAAAGGACAGTTCTGTCTCGTGCCTTTATCAGGGACTCCTCCCTCCTTTCTATTTACTGGCTGTGATCAAACATCTAAGCTTTATAAAGCAAGCTAGTGGTTGTCCTTTCCAATGCCTCACTCAGCACACCTTCTGTCACCAGAACAAGTATCCAATGAGGAAAATGAACACACTGCTCCTTGTGAGCTTATTTCTCCTCTACCTCCAAGAGGGTAAGTTTGAATAATGTGGGTGGAGGGATGCAACTTAGGGGTACTGCTCTCTAAATCTCTACTCTCCAAGTGTCACTCACATGCTGCAGCTCAGACCTGAAGACTCAGTACAATCTGAGTTTCAGGATGTCAGAGAGATCACATACAACACACTAATCCAGAAGAAAATGTACTGATTGCAGGGCAACAGGACAGCAATTTTCAGACTTCAAATTAATTGACTTTCATCCATACTTATCTCATTTTGGTCCCCTGCTCTCTTGATACACTTTTCTCCATTATTCTCTCCTACAATCTAGTTTTTGTTTCCTCTGGTTACTTCTGTGTATTTTGTAGGATTTTCTATTCTACCTGATCTTTAAACACTGAGATACCTCAAGGCTTTATACTGCCCACTCAGACACTCCTTTATATTGACTTATTAACTTCTATGGCTTCAATTACAATCTATCTGCTGAAAATGCCCAATTTTATATCCTAGCCCGATTTCTATTCTGAGCTTCAGTCTTTCATCAACAAACATCTCCTACACTTAGAAGCCATCCTTGAAATCTCCCTCTCCCTTGACACTCACTAAAAAATAATGAATAATTACTATGCTTTCTACCTATTAAATGTACTTCAAATATGATTATATTTCTACCTTATATTTCTATTTTGCTACCTTTTGACACTTAGTATGAAATAATAAACCATAAAAGAATTATAAGAAAATGTGACATAATTTGTTTATAAGCTTAGAAATAAGAAAGGCCTAACTATGACTCAAAATCCAGAGTTCTTAAAAGAAAAACTGACAAATTTGACTCATGAAAATCAAAATATTCTTCATGACAAAAATGAAAAATGCAACTTACATCACAGACATGTAATGCTTCCTTTTAAAAAAATCAAAAAGGAAAAGGCCAACAATCTAAAAGAAAAATGGGCAAAGTATGTAGACAGTTCACATAAAAATGGCTATTAAACATATAAAAAGTGCTCAATCTCACTCATATTATGAAAAATGTAAATTAAAAGAACACCAAAATATCATTTTTCGCCTATCAGATTGGCAACATCCAGAAGTTTGATAAAATATTCAAGTATTGAAGTTGTAGTGAGACAAGAATTTTCCAAGCATTGATAGCAAGAGAATAAATAGTTACATCTCCTCTGGAGGGCAATTTGGCAATATCTATTAAAATCACAAAAGAGTTTACTTTTTATCTAGCAATTCTGCTTATATGAAATTATCTTACAGATATACTCCCACACAAATGAAATATGTTCGGCATTATATATTGCAGCAAATAATATCAAAAAGTGCAGATAGCTTAAATTCTCATAAGTAAGGGACGGGTTAATTCAAGCACAGTATAGCTCTACAGGAGAATACTATACAATTAGTATACATCATTCAAAAAATCAAAGTGCAGAGTATGTATAGTATACTACCAATTATGAAAAGGAGGTAAAAAGATACATGTACATATTTATATTTGCTTGAATATAGTGAAAATCAATCTGAAAGATATAAAAGAAATGAATAAAACTGGTTTCCATTATTTGTCAGATGAAAACTGGATAACTAGCTGGCAAGAGTGGGAGGTCAACTTTGCACAGCATTCTTTTTATATTACTTACTATTTAGTCACATCAAAGTATTACCTATTTTTAAATAATGCATTTTTTAAATGTTGAAGTTGAAAATACTCAGAGGTTAAAGATCAAAGAGACTATTATCTGAAGAGCATTATCAGTGCACTGTGCAGCTTGCTCCCAACTCCCGTGAGAGAGAGAACCCTCATGAGAGTTCCTTCAGGGAGAAATTGATAGTGTCCTCTGGTGTTTGGAAGGCACAGTGAACTTGAGGAACCTAAAGGTGAGAGGGAGCCTGTGGCTACAGCCCTGAAATGGTGGAACTGAGAAACAGCTGAGCTGCATTACATACAAGCAGGGAGGATGTGCATACACTCCTGTGGATCTGATCTGGGCCATGCTGTATCAAGCAAGTCAGGCTTGAGCTGTTTAAAGTTCTAGCCAGGAGGGCTGTCTGGAGGAACAAAGTATTTTAGCAAGAAGTGGGCCACTAGCTTCTTACAGCTGAGAGAAAATATAACCACCACCTGGGGGAAATATCCAGCCCATGCTACAGCAGCGGATTTGAATATTTTTGTGGGGGAAAGCCTGGAGAACCCACAAATGTTCCGCTGATTCTAGAAACTCAAGAAAATGAATTCTCCTGACTCAAGAAAATGAGTCAGCTTTTATTAAACACAAAGTCCAAGAGATTGGGTTTTAAGTAACTGCCATGGACAACAGATGATGGCATTAGAGCCAGTCCGATGAAATCTTTCCTGTCCTTCACCTGTCCCTCTCCCGCTCACCAAATGAAATGGGTCAGAAACTATCACTCATAAGCCAGAGGTGAGCAGGAGGAAACCAAGACAGAGAAATAGAGAGAAAGTCAAAGCCACCCCCTCCTGCCCATTACAAACACCTAAGCAAGTCTGAGCTATGTGTCTATGCATAGGTGTGTGCATGTGTGTGGATGTGCATGGGCATTCATAAAGGGAGAGCAGGTTGTTGGTAAGAAACATGGGCTTTTAATGAAACAGAGCTATTTTATTATTATTGCATGGGACTCAATGCATAAATTACTGAACCCAGATTATTCTTATGCCCAAAAGTGGCGGCAAGATTTCCTTTTCCTAAAAGTACATAGACAAGTTAGGAGCCTTGTCTGAAATTACCTGCAGGATTAGAAGAACTCGCTTTAGAAAAAGAACTCAAATGGGTAGTAGTGGGCAGAAGAATAAAACTGTTTTCTGTTTGCACATTTTAAGTCCCATGTTGACCTGATAGATAAATGTAAATGGGATTAGATCGCTTCCTTGCTTAAAATTTTTCAATAAATTCTCATTGCTCATGGATCAAAAACCATACTGATGTCTTTGGCCTAGGAGGGCTCAGGAAGTTGAATCTCTGCTTACCTGCCCAGCCGTGTCTCATAGCACAACCCACTTCATTCTCTGTGACCCAGTTACACTAGCATTTTTGTTCCTCAATACACAAGCTTTTTCCACTGCTGTTCCCTCTGCCTGAAATGTTCTTCACTCTGCCCATACCACATCACCCACTTACCTGGCTGACTCTTATTTATCATCAGGCCTCACCTTACATCCCATTCCCATGGAAGCCTTGCTTGGCTCTCTAAAATACATTAGTTCTTCCCTCTTAAATGTTCTCATTACATGTTTAACTATTTCTTGATATTACAATACAACTATACCTAATTTCGGGGGGGTTGTTTAATGCCTATCTCCCCAGCATGTTGTAAACACTTGTTTATTTTTGCATTCTCAGCACCTAAAACAATGTCCAGAATGTGGAACATGCTCAAAACCCAGCAACTAATGTCATCCTTTCCCTCCAAATAAGAGGAAAAGAGGAGGGAGCCAGCTCAAGTCTTTAGCTAAAGTATTCTCCTACTTTTCCAGCCCACAGTAATCTTCCTATTGCTATACTCTTAATCTGCATCACAGGATTCATCTGGTTGACTATACATTATCTTTGCTGTTGTTATTATTTCACATGTTAACTTGTCTTCAAATATAGATGGACCCTATTCAGGTCACAGAGACTGTGTGTTATCTTTTTTATCTACCTCCTAGCTTAACTTACAAAGCTACATTAATCAAGAATTCTACAAATAACAACTAATGGAGTGAGTGAACAGTATAGTCAATATGCAACCTCTTACTAATGCTGAAAACTCATTTTCCCATAATCCCGGTATTCCGCCTGAATATTCTATTCTCTCCACCCTGCAGTTACGGGTCTGAGGTGTAATACCTGCATGTACACGGAAGGATGGAAGTGTATGGCAGGCCAAGGCACTTGCATTGCAAAAGAAAATGAGTTATGTTCAACAACAGCCTATTTCAGGGGTAAGTGGGGCTCATGAAGACTCCAAAAATGCCTGCAGAGAACCATCACTCTTGCTAGTGCCTGGGATAAAGGACTCAATATCTTTAAGCCCTGCTAGAAGGTAAAGCAAGGAATAAAAGAAGAGGCAAGAAGGGATGATTTCCAACTTTTGCACTGTGGGGTTTGACATCCAGAGCCAGATAGGGCGGTGATTGGGAAATGAACCCAGGCGCCAGGGAAAGAGACGCAGTGCTAAGTGCTGTTCCTCTTGGTGCTGAGTTTTAGTAAGTCACTATTAAGACAATCTCCTCCAGCACTTATAACAGGCTTCTTTATTTTGTAGGAGAAAAACATATGTATTCAACACATATGTGTAAGCATAAGTGCCGGGAAGAGGAGTCCTACAAAAAAGACCTATTGAGAGTGACACTGTGCTGTGACAAAAACTTCTGTAACGTCTTCTAATGGAGCTTATGAACTTGCAGAGGATCATCTGTTCAAGATTCAGAATCAAGACCAACCAACATGAACTGTTTTATTTCCTACACCAAATTCCATATTAGCCTAAGATCCCAGAGAGAGCTGCAGGGGTCGTGTCCTCATTGCAGTGAAGGGGCTCCCCACACCAACCTCCACCATTAGATCCCTACAATCATGAGCATTGAAACAAAATCCTCCATGAGCTGTGCTTACTTTTTTGTCTTTTACTCCTGATTTCTGATTTATATCCCTATGGTAGGGTAAATAATGGACCCCCAAATATTTTTACATCCTAATCTCTGGAACCTGTGAAAGTTACCTTAAATGGCAAAAGGGACCTTGAAAATATGATTAAGGATCTTGAGAAGGGGAGGTTACCTTGCATTATCTGGGTGGTCTGAAGTGCTATCAAAATCTCCTTATAAGACGCAAGTAAAGGGAGATCTGACACAGAAGAAGAAAAGTTGTGACGATGGAAGCAGAGATTGGAGTGATGTGCTTTGCAGATGGAGGAATAGGCCATAAGCAAAAAACTACAGGAGGCCACTAGAAGCTGAAAAAGTCAAAGAAACAGATTCTCCCCTCAGAGCCTCCAGAAACCGGCCCTGATGCCACCTTGATTTAAGCCCTGTAAGACTCATTTTGGCCTCTAGAACTTTTAGGGGGTGTTATTTTCAGCTACTAAGTGTGTATTGTTTTAAGCCACTAAGTTTGCAATGATTTATTATAGCTGCAATGGGAAACAAATACAATCCAAAGAAACTAGGAATTCAAACCATTGGTAAGCCTGAGTACCCAGGGGTCAGTCTAGGTAACAACAGTATCCACCGCTCAGGGCTTATGGTGACCTGCAGAAAGACGGGAATGCAGAGCAAGTGCTATGAATGAATGCGGAGATCAATTTACGGATTTTAAACTTCATGACATGCTTCAGATAATCCTTTAGGCGTATCTGTGATGTAAATGGTGCCCCACTATGTTCTGAAGCAAACAAACATGATGTCCTAATAACTCAATTTATCAGTTCCTCATTAGCTCGTGTACTCACTGAAATTCTTTTAGCAGTTAATGTCCCTGTATTAGTTTGTTTTCACACCACTGATAACTGGGCAATTTACAAAAGAAAGAGGTTTATTGGACTTACAGTTCCATGTGGCTGGGGAAGCCTTACAATCATGGCGGAAGGTGAAAGGCATATGTCACATGGTGGCAGACAAGAGAAGAGAGCTTGTGCAGGAACATTCCCCTTAATAGTAGCCATCAGATCTTGTGAGACTTACTATCATGAGAAAAGCACAGGAAAAACCTGCCCCTATGATTCAATTACCTCCCACTGGTTCTTCCCACAACACATGGGAATTCAAGATGAAATTTGGGTGGGAACACAGCCAAATCATATCAGTCCCCTTCTTAAAACTCTCCTCTCTTAGCTCATATGATTGTACATTTGTAGTTCTCCTACCTCTCTGAAGAATCCTGAGTGAGGGTTTCTGGGGACAGTGTTTTGATTTGTTATGTTTGTTTGTTTGTTTTGCCATTTTTTGAGATAGAGTCTCACTCTGTCACCCAGGCTGGAGTGCAGTGGCACCATCTCATCTTACTGCAGCCTCTGCCTTCCAGGTTCAAGCTATTCCCTTGCCTCATCTTCCCATGTAGCTGGGACTACAGACATGCACCACAACGCTCAGCTGCCTTTTGTATTTTTAGTAGAGACAGGGTTTCACCATGTTGGCCAGGCTGGTCTCGATCTCTTGACCTTGTGATTCACCTGCCTCAGCCTCCCAAAGTGCTGGGATTACAGGGGTGAGCCACCATACCCAGTCCTGTTATTGTGTTTATATTCAGATATTTAACCTGTGTGAAGCCACCTTTGTAATATTGCTTTAAGTAAAAGGCAATATTGTTTTTCTCCATAGAGTGACTCAGATTTTTTAGCACCATTGACTACAAAGTCTATCCTTTCTCCATTCATTTGTGATGCAATTTTTATCATTAGTTATAAAGGGAAAAAAAATCAATGTTTACTATACTGTCTCACACACACTTCTGACATGAAATGTGTGGGGTTTTCCACCCCAAGAAATTATCCCATTCCCCAGTGCACACTGACCGAGTGCTCTAAAATTTAACTCAGTTCTGACACCAATTGCCTGGAGTTAGTGCAGCCTCCACAGATAAAGGGCTCAGTCTCCCAAGACTGCCCCTCAACTGCAGAGGCCAATCACAAATTGTGGGTCCTCAGGTCATGCACAACTTTTGTCCAAACCGGAAATTCCCACATTCCCCTCCTTGGGTTCAATAATTTGCTAGAACAGCTCACAAACCTGCAGAGATAATTTACTTATGATGATGGATTTATTGCAAAGGATACAGATGCACAGCCAGATGAAGGGGTAGATAGGGCAAGGTCTGGAAGGCTCCTGAGCACAGGAGCTTCTGTCCTTGTGGAGTCTGGAGTGCACCACCCTTCCAGCACATAGATATGTTCTTGTTCACCAATGCAGTAGCTCTAAACACCCTTTTAATTAAGGATATTTAATGGAGGTTTCATTGCATAGATATGATTGATTATTAATAAATGATTGGTCACCAGTGGTTAATTCAGCCTCCAGTCCTCCCCTCTCCAGAGGCTGAGAGGCAGGACTGAAAGTTCTAACCCTCTAATCACATGGTTGATTCCCTTGGCAACCAGCCCTTATTCTGTGGTTATCTAAAGGCTTTCCAAAAATCACTTTGCTAATATAAATTCAGGTATGGTTGAAGGATTTGTTATAAGACATGTAAATGCTTCATGAACCAAGGACAAAAGACCAAATATTATATCAAAAGATGTTCCTATTGCTCTTATCACTTAAGAAATTACAAGGGTTTTAGGAACTCTGTTCTAGGACCAGTGGACAAAAAGACCAAAATAAACAGTTGACCCTTGAACAACATGCAGGTAAAAAGTGCTAACCCCTGCACATCAAAAATCCACATATAACTTTTAGCTACCCAAAAATTTACTAAAAGCCTACTGTTGACTGGAAGCCTTATCAATAACATAAACAGTCAATTAACACTTATTTTGTACATTATAAGTATTATATACTATATTTTTATAATAAAGTAATCTATAGAAAAGAAAATATTAAGAAAACCGTAAGAAACAAAGTTCACTTACTATTCATTAAATGGAAGTCATCTTCATAGAGGTCTTCATCCTCATTGTCTTTACATTGAATAGGCCAAGGAGGACGCACAAGAGGAGGGGTTGCTCTTGCCATCTCAGGGGTGGCAGAGGCAGAAGAATCCACATATAAGAAGACTCACAGAGTTCAACCCTGTGTTGTTCCAGTATCGATTTTGTATTTCTTATTGTATCACAGTATCATATGCACATAAATATGTTTGTGTGTGGCTATGTGTGTGCGTGTATATAAAACTTTCCATTCTATTCCATTGTCTATTCATGCTATGGTCTGAATGTTTGTGTCCCACCAAAATTTACATGCAGAAACTTAATCCTCAATGCAATAGCATTAAGACGTAGGGCCCTTCAGGAGTGATTATGTCATAAGGATTGGGTCCTAACGAGTAGGATTGCTGCTCTTTTTAAGGAAGCCAGAGGGAGCTTGTTTGCTGCAGCCACCATGTGAGGACGCAGCAAGAAGGCATCAACTGGGAAGCAGAGGGTGAGCCCTCACCAGACATGTGATCTGTCTGGACCTTAATCTTAGATTTCCCAGCCCTTAGAATTATGAGCAATAAATTTGTATTGTTGATAAATTACCCATTATATGGTATTTTTGTGACAGCATCCCAAACACAGTAAGAAAATTTGTTTCGAGTGAACACTGTGCTACTTTATTTTTACTGTAGTCTTGTAGAATGTCTTTAAATTTGGTAGGGAAAGTTCCCCCATTGTGCCATTTCTTTGTCTGTTGACTCTCAGTTCCATTTCTGCCCATTATTGCTCTTCTGTGAATTGCAGGAAATTCGAAACGAGCCTATGGCTCTGCCTATGACAGCAGCAAACAACTGCAGGAGACTGCCAGCTAACACAATAGCACCATATTCATGGCAGCTGCGGCAGCAAATCTAACAGCATCAGCAACTCCTGCTTCTGAAAAATATAGGCTCCTGGCTTCCTGAAAAGTGGCGATGACAGTAGCACACAGAGAGTTTCAGGAGCAGACTCTCCCTTGCTTCGGTTACCCCTCACTTTTGGACTGTAGATAATAGCAAGTTCCCTTTGCTCCTGCAACCCTAGGGATGGTAAGAGCTTCTCACAAGTACTGATCTCTGGGGAATAGTATTGTTCCCTTTTGGGCTCCTTCAGCCCTCTCAACACTTTTGTAACCATTTTCATGTATTTAATTCCCCTTGCTTGGAAAGCTAGAAATGTGAATATTTCTTTTTTTTATTTCCATAGCTCTTGGGGTCCAAGTGGTTTTCGGTTACATGGATGAATTGCATATTGGTCAAGTCTGAGATTTTAGCATAACTGTCACCTGAGTAGTGTACACGGCAACCAATATATAGTTTGTTGTTGTTTTCATAGCAGCTGCTCGAGTCAGCAGCCGCTTGGGCAGGCACTGAGGTGCAGGAGTTTTGCATACTTTAGCTCCAGGAAATCCAGTGAGGCAGGGGATCTGTCCACTCCCGTAGGAAAAGGACTGAGGCCAGATAGCCAAGCAGCCTCACTCATTAGGCCCCACTCTCACAGAACCCCACAAGCTAACATCCACTGGCTTGGAATCCCTGCCAGCCAGGACAGCAGGCTGGAGACTGCCTAAGACTATTCTATTGCATTCGCGATTGGAAGGGGTGACCATCACTGCAGTTCCAGTCAACCATTTTCCCTGCCAGCGAGACTGGGCAGAATTCCCCACAGCACAGCACAGTGGCCATGATGGATCATTGCCAGGCTGCTTCTTTAAGTGGGACTCTGACCATCCCTCCTCACCAGGCAGGGCCTCCCTATGGTAATTTCAGCATCTCCAGACAGGGGGTTCTGGACAGAATTCTGATATCCCTGAGTTAAGCCCATAGTGGGAGAGGCACTGTGGTCACCACTGACCAGCAGTCTTAATCTTTTCTACCTGCTGGCTCTGAAGAGTTAGGGCAGCCCAGATGAGGGAGTTTTCCCCCAATGCAGCACACTTGTTTAGCCAAGTGGCAGCCAGCCTGCTGATTTAAGCAGATCCCTAATCCTGTTCTTCCAGACTGTGCGAGACCTCCCAACAGGGGTGTCCAGATACCTCATACAGCAGCACTCCAGCCAGCATCAGGTTGGTGCCTCTCTGGGATGGAGCTCCCAGAGGAAGAAACAGGCAGCCAACTTCGCTCTTCTGCAGCCTCCACTGGTGATACTTCCAGGTGCAGGAG